AGGCTGGCCCCAGGAGCCTCTGCCATCAGTGATCAGCATGTCCCTTACCCTCTGCTTAGAATTTAGAATTACTGCTCCCTTCCCCCATCCTCCACCTCTGGCTCCCTCCTGCCCCTGCAGGAGTGGGCAAACAAGGGTGCTATATTAGAGATCTTCATCTCAACTATGAGGCCAGCACTTATGGCCAATAAAACTTTATGAGGAGCTGAAATTCCTTCTCCCTTTTGGAGCTGAGGAGCTGAGCTAGAGAGAGTAGGAGGAGGAGCTGGGACAGAGCTTTCTGGGGAGATGGTTTACAGGTACATCACCTCACCACAGCTTCTGACTAAAAAGCCCCTTGCAAGCCCCAGCCCCTACCTTTACACTGCATTCCACTGTAGGACCCATAGTCACATAAGGAAAGGAGTCAGCTCCCCCAGAGCATTTTTTCTTTTTAAAAAAGAGAAAGTAGGGGAAGTAAGTGGTGCAGTAGATACAGCACTGGCCCTGGCATCAGGAGGACCTGAATTCAAATCCGACCCTCACTTACTAGCTGTATGATCCTTGGCATGTCACTTAACTTTGATTACAGAGAAAGAGACAGAGACAGAGACAGAAAGAGAGAGACAGAGACAGAGAGAGACAGAGACAGGGAGGGAGAGGGGGAGAGAGAGAGAGGGAGAGGGGGAGAGAGAGAAAGGGAGAGGGGGAGAGAGAGAGAGGGGGAGAGAGAGAGAGAGAGAGAGAGAGAGAGAGAGAGAGAGAGAGAGAGAGAGAGAGAGAGAGAGAGAGAGAGAGAGAGAGAGAGAGAGAGAGAGCCTTCATTCCCCAACATGACCAGTTCCAGAGAGTCCAAGAAACTCAGACTTAAAGATCATAGAAATACACTCATCTGAACCCTGTCCCCAATGGTCAGTGCCAGCAAACCCTGAAGCACAGAATATCCAGTACACAGTAAAGGAAGCACTTTTTCCATTCAGTGCCTTCATCTTCACCGCTTCTCCATCACCTTCAGAATAAAGTCTAAATGTCTCAGCTTGTTATTCAAGGCCCTCCCCAGCCTGAGTCCTGCTGTCTCCAGCCTTAACCCCGACACTGCTCACTACCATGTACCCTCCACTCTAGCATGGTAGCTTGGCCTGATCTTGGAGTTCTTACTCTGATGTTTACTAACCTGTGTCATCTTGGGCACATCACAACTTCTCTGAACCTCATCTTCACTATCTGTGAAATGGGGATACTAATCCTTGCAAAACCTGCCTCACACAGTTGTTGTAAGGAAAGGACTTGAGAAGCCTTAAAACTTTATACATAAATATGAGTTATTATTATAATGAATTCCAGGCTCATTTCTGCGTCTGCACCCATGCGTGTGCTTTTCATTGGGCCTGAAGTATCTTTCTCCCCTCTATCCCCCATCTAAACCCTACCCATTCCTCGAAGCCCAGCTAAAGGCCTCCACTTGCAGGAAGGCCCTGGAAGGCTTCCTTGCTAACACTAAATGTTAAGAGTTGGCAGAGGCTTTAGAGATCACCCACTCTTACTACTTCACTGTATTGAGACCCAGAAAGAGGAAGTCACATTGGAAAGCCAGCTCTAGAACTTGGGTCTCCTGACTCCCACTTCACTCCATCAAAAGCAAAACACTTGCCTCTTCCCCTCCTCTGAACTCCCATAGTGCTGAGTTAGAAAGCTCGGCTGGCCTCTGATCACAAACCACCTTGCCTGGTGACAAGTATTTCATGTGTGTGTCTTGCCTCGCTGCTAAATTGTCAGTCCCTTGTGGGCAGAAGCTGTGTTTTCTTCTGTTGTTCTTCCCCTTACACAGTTGAAAATAGGACTGAGTATACAGCAGGCACTCAGCAAATGCTTGCCAAAAGAAACTATGGATGAATGCTGAGGCAGCCTATAGCTTTAATACAGAGTACCCCCTGATGGGACCAAGGGATAGGGAAGTGACTCCCTTTGTTTCTGGCTCTAAGCACACAGAAAAAAATGAAGGAAAGAAGAAAGGAATAAAGAGAGGGAGAGAGAGAGAAGGAGGGATGGAGGGAAGATGGGATGGAGGAAAAGAGGAAGGAAGGAAGAAATGAGGGATGGAGGAAAGGAGGAAGAAAAGGAAGGAAGAAAGGAAGGAGGGATGGAAGAAAGGAGGAAAAAAGAAGAAAGGAAGGAGGGAGGGAAAGAGGGATGGAAGAAAGGAGGAAGAAAGGAAGGAAGGAAATTAGCATTTATTGAGCACCTACAATGTGCCTGGCACTCTGCTAAATGCAGATATTACAAATATCATCTCAGATATAGCCAGAATGATGGCTGTCTATACAGAGCAGAAGCTTCAGTCAGCAGTGTGACTTTGGAGTGCAGACAGACAAAGGGCCTGCAGAGTCTCAGCTGAACCCTTCCCTCTTCATTCTGGTCACTCCCTGAGCCCCCTCGCCCACTCCTCAGCACTGGTCTGATCTCTGTGCCATAAGAGAAGGATGATGGCTGTGAACAGTTTCAGGAGAGCTCAGGGACATGGCCAGGGATGCCCACAGAGTGGAGGGAATAGGGATGGTCACGAGCTACGGAAAAAAGCCTCATACTCTAGGCTGCCTGTAGGAAACAGAGCTGAGAAATGCACATGTTCAGAGGGAGATGATGCCAGGACTCAGAGACACATAATTAAGACGGTCTTGAATCAGAGCTAAGTAGGGCCTTCTGGCCCAGCCTGGGTCCATAACTTGGAGGCTTGGCTCTCTTCCCTAGCTTCTCCAGCCTCATTCCATCCTCTCCATAGGACTAACTCAAGCCTTTGCAAGAATAAGATGCTCAGTCTCCACATAACAGATAGCTTAGTAATCAGAACATGTCACAAATTGTGCACACAAGGTATAACTGGCATGTACCACCAGACGCACACATGTAACATATTAGAAGGGGGATCACATGCTGCCTCGGAAAACAAAGTTCTAATGCACATTACAGCTTACACAGCATTTTTCTCATAACGACCCTACGAAGTAGGTAGTAGGAGTGTTCTCATTCCTTTTTCACAGATGAGGAAACTGAGGCTCAGAGAAATGATGTGCCCAGCCCCATAAGAAGCAGAGCTGACACTCAAACCCCATGTTGTCTCTTTCCACTGTAGTAAGCTGCCTGTTTGCATCATCCAACCTGTCTGCAAACTGTCGATGCAAAGTAGACCTCAGGTTGGGGCTTCCATAAAACAGAAAAGACTAAAAATAATTAAGAAACACATTTACTGTGCAGGAGAAATGCTAAGCTCAGTCCCCAGCCACTATGCTAATGAAATATTTTTACTATCTCTGGGACTCTCAAAAAAAGGGAAGGTTTTTATTGTTATTAATTTCATTATCTTTAACTGTCTATTCATTCAATTAAGGCATTTAAAAATATTTTTTCTGTGCTTCTGACCTCACTAATTTGAAAGTCTGAAGCACATTTATTGTTTTTTAAGTTGGCTCCATTGTGTTTTATAAGGCCTAAACAAAATTCTTTTCTGCAGCAAGGCAAATCCTGACTTTCAATGTATAAAATGGGCAGGTTCTTACTCATGGGCTTGAATGCATGTATGTGCGTATGTATAATTAGACAAAGTCATGCACACATATATACACACCTTACACACACACATACTCATACACATTGGGGTCAAGTGGAAAGAACCAGGGAGTGGGAGTCACAGGCAAGGTTACTGCCCCTCTCTGGGCCTTAGTAAAATGACAGGTTAGAAGATCTCTAAGGGTCACTACAAGCTTGAATGTTCCATACAGCCGAGTTATTCTAGGGCTTAAAGGAATCTATGAATCTTTTCCTTCCTTGCCTGGGGTGTGGAGAAGGGGAACAAGATGGGAACCCTTGTAATAGCCTTAGTGACCCTGTGTCTTCCCTAGTGTGGCACAGGAGATCGGGGCCTTGAATTTGTTCCCTAGGGAGAAAATTCTCTTTTGCCAAGGCTGCCCAGTGATCTTTCACCCCTATCTCCTTCCATGGCCTCGTGTGTCCTGCCTTTATCACCCTAATTACCTGGCCTAATCAACCACATGCTGCTGGCCTCCTCTCCTCCCCTCCCAGATACTTTATACAGACAGCTGGCTGCAGGAAAGAGGGAGCAGGAAATGGGAAGGGATCCAGGGACCACAGATGGCAGTTGTGACGTACTGGAAAAAAGGCTTGAGCAGGCGCTGGAAAACTCAGGTTCGAGTCCTTATTCCAACCATCGAGCAGCTGAGTAATGTTAGGTAAGTCACTTCATTGATTTAAATGTCAATTTCCTCATCTTTAAAATGACAGGATTAATCCCTTTCCTGACTACCTCTCCTACTGATGCTGAGGCTAGTGAGATAATGCCGGCAAAAGCTCTTTATAATCTGTAGAGCATTTTTCAGGCCTGCCTCCCATAGTGTTGGCCAAGGTCAATGCCATTTTGCTTTACAATAACAACATGGATACGTTAACAATAATAATAATAAACATGTAGTATTTACTATGTGCCAGGTACTATGGCAAGTGCTTTACAATTATTATCCCATTTGATCCTCACAACCACCCTGGGAGGTACCCCCATTTTACAGATGAAGAAACTGAGGCAAACAAAATGAAGCCCAAGATCACACAGCTAGTAAGTGTCTGAGGCTGAATTTGAACTCAGGTCTTGCTGACTCCAAGCCTGGTCTTCTATCCATTTTACCATCTAACTGTCTCCAATATTATAACTAAACTTCTTCATAATGGCAAAAAACCTCATGTAATATCATTTGGCCAATTATCCATTGCTAAGATTATTCTTGTGGAACTAGTAGTCCTATGACTTCCGTTTTCACTTAAACTTGTCTTTTGGTGGAATCAATTAATGATGCTAAGAAGGTGGGAGAAGGGAATGCCTATACATAGCTAAGCACACAATTATTATTACTACCGTCATTACCGAACATCCAAGGTCTGCTCTGAAGACCTTGGCCCTGGGTGGGTGATGGCGGAGAAAGATACAGGTTGAAGATGGGGGAACAAGGACTTACCAAGCAGCTGGACACCCCTTGTGAGGCCATAGACGTCAACCAGGGCCCACAGGGGATCAGCAGTTCGGACACCACTGAAGAACAGCATGGCGGCAGAGTCATTGACCCGGTAGAATACACGGCCCTTCTTGTCCACCCAGAAGGCGATGATGTTGCCCTCATTAGCATACTCCTCAGGTAATGCCTTGGCCCAGAAGCCACTCTGGGATACAAGGTCAGGACAGGCATACTTGGGCAGTGTGTCTGGGTTAATTCGGGACGGATCCTTGCATGTGAAGCCCAGTCGCAGAGCTCCACTCCAGCAGCACTGCTTCTTGGTGATCTGTGGAAGCCACAGGGAGAGACAACTCAATTCAGACTCATATAGGGCCTCCCTTCCCCAATCCCCAGCTTGATCAATCAAGGTGACCTTCCTGAAAGAGAGAGACCTTAGCATAGCTTACCCTTTTAGCAGACTTTACATGGCTCCACATCTGAACTGGGAAAGGAGAAAGGAAACCCTGCTCTTACTCCTAGTGTTTTAACAACCACTTGAGATTCCCTCCAATACACTTCCTCCAAGAAATCTTCCCCTCTCGAGCCTATCAGAGCAGAGGGTTTATCTAGCCTGCCCCTGTTTTGGATTGAGACCTCCCAGATTTGCTCCCCACCTCTGCCATCTTCCCCTATTCTTTAGGTATAACAGGAAGGAATGACTGAGAAAGAAGGAAAGAGAGGAATTAGAGAAGACAAAGGTAAGGAGGAGGTAGAGGATGGGGCAGTGAAGGAAGGGAGGAGGCAGGCACCAGGAACAAGGAGGATAGTGCTTGAGGGTCCAGGAAATGGGCCCACCTTTAGCCTGACTTGCTCATAGATGAGGACGGGCCGGTTGCTGAAGGTGATGGCGTTACAGAAGCTAGCCTGCCGCTTCACAGCCTTGTGGCTGAGGTCCATCAGGATCTGGGAGCCCTTGGTATGTGGGTGGAAGAGCAGTGGTGTGGCCGGGAGGCTCCCGCCTTGGGGCGTTGGCAGACAGTGCTTCTGTTTGTGGTGACATCGGTGAGAGGAGGCAGGGAAGGGGCCACCGATAGAATCTGCAAGGGAATGAGTCATCTATGAAAGGGCATTGTCAAAAGGCCACCAAGATGCCATCCATGCCCCAAGAACAGTCTATGTGATAGAGGCAACCACCACTATCATCACTATCCACTGTCACCTTTGCTTCCATCAACCAATCATCACTGTCACTGCCATCACTACCACTATCACCATCATCATCACCACCCACCATCAGTCATCATTCATTCAATATTCATCATCATCCCCACCAACCCCAGCACCATTATCCATACTGTGGCCATTATCTTTCTCTTACACTTACGAATGCCATACCTCTCTTTTACTGAGCAAATGCTCCCCACCCACATACAATACCAAAACCACCACCAAAAGCCCATTAAAGGTGAATTCTTTGTAGTACAAAACAAGTTTCCATTTTGTAGATGGAGCTCCTACAGTGAATTTGAAAGCACTTTTCAAAACTCTATGGTAGCCTTGGCACACGCCTGCAATCCTTGCAGCCATGGAGGCTGAGGATGGCAGACCTCTTAGTTCAGAGTTCTGAGCTGCAGTGGACTATGTTGATTAGATGTCCACGCTAAATTTATCATTAAAGATGGCGAGCCCTCAGGAACAGGGAACCATCAGTTTATCTGAGAGGGATCTGATAGGACCAGAGAAATGGAGCAGCCAAAACTCCTGGGCCAATCTGAGTGGGATCAGTGCTGTAAATAGCCCTTTCCCTTCCAGCCTGGTCAAGCTAGGGAGAAAATCTGAGAATCTGGTACGCCTTGGGCAAATCAGCTTGATTTCCTTAGGCCTCAGTCTCCTCATCTGTAAAATGAAGGCATCATGATGTCAGATGATCCCCAAGATCCTTCTCATTTTCATTCATCATCTAGTGGCATACATTAGATGAACATTTCCCACAAAGAGGAAAAAATACATATATTTTTTATAATAGGAAAGTCCATGGTGTTCTATAAATGTACAGGCATTCTTGTTAGAGAGTCAGTATGATGTGCTGATTAATGTTTAAAGAACTGGCTCTTGGAGGGGAGAGGGAAAGTGTAGGCACAATACACTTTTCAGTTTATTATGCGTTATTAACATTTTCCCTATCACTTCCTGAAGTCTAGACAATCAACAAAACAATAAACCAAGCCCTGATTCGTAGCATTTGTCAATATCTGTGGTATAAATGCTGACACTGAAGATTTAACAATCAACTCTGAAAAGCTGATTGGACTTGGTTCTAGCACACCCCTTTGTTGTCATTCAGTCTTGTCTGACTCTTTGTGACCCCATTGGGGGTTTTCTTGGCAAAGATACTGGAGTAGTTTGCCATTTCCTTCTCCAGCTCATTTGACAGATGAAGAAACTGAGGCAAACAGGTTTAAGTGACTTGCCCAGGGTCACACAGCTAGCAAGTGTCTGAGACCAGATTTGAACTCAAGAAAATGAGTCTTCCCGATTCCAAGTCCAGTACTCTATCCATTGCGCCACCTAGCTGCCCACAGCACATGTAATAAAAAGCACATCTGACCAGGGCCCCCAGGTTCTACTCCATATTCTTCCACAAAGTCCTTGTGTCACCTTGGACAAGTCACTTCCCTTTTGGGGGCTCATTTTCTTCATGATATTGATCTCTAAGATACTTTTCAGTTTTAAGGCAGTCTTTGTAAGCATCCTCACTGTTAGACAGCAATGTCCCCAGGCCCACTAAGAATAATATTCTATTAACCAATCAACAAACATTGGTTAAGCACCTACTATGTGCCAGGCACTATGCTAAGTGCTGGGCATATCAAAAAAAAGGCAAAAGATAATCCCTGCCCTCAAGGAGCTTACAACCTAATAGTCATTCGAACCTGAGGCACAAAGCAAATCCCCTTTCATTCAGCCTATATGTTCACTGCCAGTTTGTCTCAGGAGATGAAGAAATTTAAGGTAAAAATGAGGAAAAACGCCTTGAGATAGTTTATTTTTCCTGTCCATGAGGACAGATAGGAGGGGCATTGCCTTATATGAAAGAAGCCAGCTATCTTGCATCTAGCCAGCGTCATTTTGCATCCTCTCTGGGTTGCCTCCTTTTAGAGCTGATGCTAAACCTTCAGCCCAGAGTTCACTGGCCGTCAGCCCATGCTCTTCCCACATAATCTAAGAGACTGGATTACCTACGTATGTATCAATTGGTCCATGGATTTTTTCTGGATCAGCCACCTCCAATTATGCCTGCCAGGGCCTTTCTCTGGACCAAACCTCAAGGGGCGGGGGGGAGCAACTTATTTCTTGTTGAGAGGCACAGGGCCCCAAGAAGCGTCAATATTCTTTGCAAAAACCAAAGAGGAGGAGGAATCAAGGCAATCACAGGATTTAAAACCAGAACTAAAATATCTGGTAGACGGCATTTGAATTTTAAGGCTTATAAAGCACCTTACCTGCAATACATCATTTGAGCCTCACTATGGGTATTATTATCCCCATTTTACAGATGAGGAGACTGAAGGTGAGGGAAGTTAAGTAACTTGCCCATAGTCCCACACATAGCTAGTGTCAGAAGCAGAATTTGAACCCAGGTCCTCCTGACTCCAAGTCCAGCGTTGTAACTACTATCCCACACTGCTTAAAGGTTCCATAGAGATCATTTGGTCCAGAAGTTCTTTTTTTTTTGGGGGGGGGGTGAGGCAATTGGAGTCAAGTGACTTGCCCAGGGTCACACAGCTAGTGAGGGATATGTGTCTGGGGTCAGATTTGAACTCAGGTCCTCCTGACTCCAGGGCCAGTGCTCTATCCACTGCGCCACCTAGCTGCCCCTGGTCCAGAGGTTCTTAACCTTTTTCATGGCATGGACTCCCTGTGGCCATCTGGTGAAGTCTATGTATCCCTTCTCAGAAAAAAAAATATTTTAAATGCATAATAGAAAATACGTAGGATTCCAAAGAAAGCCAATTATACTGAAACGCAGTTAGCGGAAGGAAAGGAAAAAGGAAAGAGTGCCAGACACTACACTAAGCACTCTTTTTTTATTACAAATATTATCATCAAAATATTTTAAAAATAAGTTTACCGGTTAAGCATTTTTGATCTAGTCCAACTCATTTGTTTTAGAGATGAGGAAACTGAGGCCCAGATAGTTAGGATAAACTAGGGTGGGGGTGGGGAACCTGTGGCCTTGAGGCCACATGTGGCCTTCTAAATACTTAAGTGAGGTCTGTTGACTGCAAAAGGATGTAGAAGGCCACATGTGGCCTCAAGACCGCAGGCTCCCCGTCCCCAACCCCAGCTAGGGTATACAGGGAGCAGTGTCCAAAACTGGACACAGTCACTTGAGAAGCCCCCTGTCATGCTTAGTTGATAGGACTCACACACAGGGATCGTAGATTTAGAACTGGGAATGACCTTCCATACCATCTAATCTAACCCCTTATTTTAACACATGAGGAAACAGAGGCCAAGCGAGAAAAGAGTCACAAAGACCATAATCGGCAGGGCTGAGATTTGAACCCAGGTCCTCTCACTCCAAATCCAGTGCTCTTTCTACAGTGCCATGCTGATGCTCTCAACCAACACAAGACAGTGAGAGGAAAATGCTAAACTGTAGGATACTGGAGCAGTGTGGGAAAGCTTCATGAGATGTGCAGGGCTTTAGCTAGAGCTTGGGTGGAGGAGGCAGGGGATGGGGAGGATGGGGATCTAAGGAGAAGAGGGAAATAATGCTCTGGATCCGGGATCAGTAATATCAGAAAAGCCCTCTCAAGCCACATTGGGAAATTGCTCTAAGTAGTCCAAGCAGCCTGACCATGGTGTCCAGGTCTTTGCTACAGCCTTCCCCTGGGCTATGCCTGGCTTCTAAGATTCCTCCCAGCTCTAAATCCGATTCTAGGAGCTGTGGGGAGGCTCTCATTGCACCCTATCTCCCCTTTCCCCCCAATACACACATGTTCTCCCACCTCCTGCTCCCCGGGGAACTCACTCAGCTGCTTTGCACCACAGGGGAAGGACCACCCTCCCCTGACTCACTAGCACTGACAGCTTTACAAGTCTCCGGGAGCTCCCAGAGGCAGCTGGGGGGGAGGGGGGAAGGGGGAAAAGGGGGAGGATGGAGTCACCCAGAAGGGAAGCAGGAGAGCTTCTGCTGACACAATGGAAAACTCTCTCTGAACTTCTCCCCAACCCCCCACTCTGCCCTGCCTACCTCATAGGGCTGTTGTACAAAGTAGGTGTGACTGCCCTTGGCCAAGCATTTAACACCCAACAAAAGTTATTCCTTATCCCGTGTCCTTCTGTCTCACTCTCCCGTGTCTACGAGTTGCCCCATCTATGTTTACTGACCACCTGGGAATGGCATTCAGAGCCAGAAGGGGCCTCGGAGATGCTCTCTTCCAATGACTTCATGGAAAAGATGAGAAAGTTTGGGGCTCTAGTTGTGGAGGGGAGTAAAGGCATCTTGCCTGAGGTGACCCAAGGAGTTAATGCTGTAACAGGACTGGCGAGTAAACTCAAACCTTCTGACCCTTCAATTCAATACTCCTCTCATTCTGCTCCGCATTTACAATGCACTACAGGGGTGGGGAACCTTCAGCCTCGAG